GAAAAGAATTGAAACTTGGAAAATTGTCTCTACTATCAGTTAGTACACTGCGATACAACATTTCTTCAGTATTATTCTAATTCTCCAATCCTAAAATTCTGTACTACTGTGCAGTAATGTGAATTGTGCAGGACACCTGGTGGTTAAACTACTGCAGAGAAATTTCTAACAAGTTTCTGTAAAATTAGATTTTTAAAATAGTCGGCAAAATCTGTTGAATGGGAATGAAAGTTGCTACAAGTAACTAACGATTATTAAAGTTTATTTTGTATTTATAATAGTTGGAGTAAAATTGCTATGTACAAAATATATTGGTTATAGGATTACTGAATCTGTTTCATTCCTGTAATTGTTTGTTGCTCAATGATCAGAGTATCCTCTTTATAGTGATAAGAAAGGTGAATTGGTTTGTGGTATGAGAATTCTGTTGTGTTTATTTAAATTTTAGTGCTAAACTTGTATTTTGCCAGTGGGAATGTGACCTGAAATTGTCAGGCCATCACTACCGAGCAACGGTACCTACATTGAGTTTTGATTAAGTGCTAAAACCTATGAGGTGTTAAATCAGAACATTGCTAAATAGTGGGTGTGGCCTAATGGACTGAACTTTGAGGCCCGATTCCTGTCCTGAAAAATTCAGTGAAAAAGTAGGTGGTTTTTACTTAACCTCTTGCCCCCCCCCCGCCCCCGCCACAACTATAACAGATATACCCCTTCTGCTATTCTCGCAGCTCTGCTAAGAGCCCTTTGTTCTCCCCCTGCCTGCCCCCAGCTACCCGCTCTCTACTCCCTCCCTGAGCCCCAAGCTTAAGGTGACTTCAAGCCTCAAAACGGGCCCACAATTGAAACATTTCAGTTTAGAGTTGTACAAAATTGCTGACTTCTATGCAGCTATGATATTGGTATTGTAATAGTTTCTTGTGTAAAGTTTTTAATGACAGGGCTGATAGACGAGCCGAACAGACACTTTTTCGCATTGTAGGGATTCTTCCGTTCTATGATTTGTCCCCGCATATCCCGCTCTGTGCACCAATATTCGGTACTTCTTCCGAGTGCTGATCCACATGCTCGAGTGTTAATTAAGTGGAGATTATTATGGTGGTTGTAGTGATTGGAATGAGATCAGTCAGGTTCACGGAGTATGAGGTCCCTGACTGGGATGTTAATCTGGTCTGATCAGGGAGCCCTGGCTGACAGATATAGACAGAGTGTCAGAGGTCATTTTCATTCTATCAGCCAACTCTGAGCTAGCTGGGTCAGTGTCATGTACTGTGCTAATGCAAATGAAAGGTGACTTGGTGACAGGTTACCAGCCTTCGTGGAGTTATTTCAGTGGCAATGAGAGAAAAACACGTTCCTGAAGAGATTTGTTTGCAACAGTCATGTTTGAGTTGGGGTAAGTACTTCTGGCATCATGCCACTGTTAAGGAAGCTTGACTTGTTTGATCCTAGCATCGAAGCAACTTTCATATGTTAAAAAATGCATTTTTTTTCTGGGTAAATGACATTTGGGCAGACGAAAAGCCCAGTTATATGAAGGATATTATCAAGCTGGAGAGGGTTCAGAAGAGATTTACCAGAATGTTGCAGGTATGGAAGGTTTGAGTTATAAAGAAAGGCTAAATAGGCTGAGGCATTCTTCACTGGAGCGTAGGAGGTTGAGACATGACCTGATAGAAGTTCATGAAATAATGAGAGCTATAGATAAAGTTGGTAGTAGTTGTCTTTTCCCTAAGATGGGAAATTTCAAGACTGGGGGGTTCATTTTTAAGGTGAGCGGAGAGAGTTTTCAAAAAGACATAAGCGGCAAATTTTTTACACAGAGGGTGGTTTGCACGTGGAATGAACTTCCTGATGAAGTGGTGGATGCGGGTACAATTACAACATTTTAAAAGACATTTGGATGGGTACATGCATAGGAAATATTTGGAGGGATAAGCACCAGGAGCAGGCTGGTGGGACTAGTTTAGTTTGGAAATACATTCGGCATGGACTGGTTGGTCCGAAGGGTCTGTTTCCATGCTGTATGACTCTATGACAATATGTTTCTATGACTCTATAACCAGGGGAATCCATAGTGGGATTTTTGACAAGGTTAAGATGACTGGTGGAGGCATATGATTTTCGTTTAACTGCAATGAGATGCTGAGAGACCGTACAGTATGTACGATTAATGATGTGATCATGCAAAAATGCCTACTAGCTGAAACCCAGTTGGACTTCAGACAGGCACTATAGCTTTGTCATTAGAAAATGCGGATGACTTGAGCCACCTCCCGCTGGCAGATACACCACAAGTGATGCTGCCACTAGAAGAGTTTGTTCGGGTTTTAAACTTTCTGGGCACCCTTCTGGTCACTGCTGACATTATCAGACTGTGAACATGAAAAGATCCTGTCCTGGCAAAACTAAAACAACTGGTGGTGATGGGGGGAACAAGGGGCCATCACAACCAGAATTGAAACGTTTGTGGACCCAATGAGACCAAATCACCTTAGAGGACGGTATATTATTATGGGAAGCAAGAGTGCTTGTCTCGAGCAAAGGTTGCCACCAGACACTGACTAAACTCCACCACGGTCATCCAGAGGTTTCCAAAATGAAGATGTTGGCGAGAAGTTGTCTGGTGGCCAGGATTGGATTCTGACATAGCCTTGTTGGTGAGGCACTGCCCAGAGTGCCAACAATGACAAAAATTAACACCAGCATTTGTGGGAATGGCCGGGTAAACTCTGGATTCAGTTACATGTTGATGATGTCCTTTAGCGGGCTCTATGTTCATAGTCATTGTGGGCACCCATTCAAAGTGGCTGGACATACATAAAGTGCATTTGTCAGACATGCGAATGATGATTGAAAAACTGCGAGCATCTTTTGCAATACATGGACTTCCAGAAGTGTTGATCACAGATAATGAGCCATCATTTACCAACAGGGAATTCAACTATTTCCTAAAGTCAGATGGCATTTGGCGTGTAAAGACAGATCCATACCATCCTTCGTCCAATGGTCTGTTGGAAAGACCAGTCCAAACATTTGAAGGCAGTCTTAAAGAAACAGCCAACAGCTTCGCTCAATACCAAACTATCCCAGTTCCTGTTTGATTGTAGGACAGCCCCTCACACAACCACAGGGATAGCTCCAGCAGAGTTACTGATGGGGAGACAACTCTGCACCAGGTTAAACCTGAAATTCCTGGACCTGAGGGGAGGGTAAGATGGCATCAGGAATGCTGGACACAAGACTCCTGTAAGCGAGAGAGAGAGTTCATTTCAGGGGTGAAACCAGAGGAATGGCCCTGCATGGGTAACAGGCATAGTCGACACAAGCTCAGGTCCAGTGACGTACAAAGTTTGAGTTGGAGAGGCAGTCGTGAACAAGCACATGGACCACATCAAAGCTGCAGCCTCACAAACAGAGCAGGAGCAAAACACACCCAGCCGCTCAGGATATCCAGTGAGGCTGTCCGAACCCTTGGGTTCTCCCCCTTCGCCTAGCGTCGAAGAAAAGTCTGAGGACAAGATGGTATATGGCAGATGTCGTAGCCTGGATGCCGTTACCACCTGAAGAAGAAGATGAATTTCTTCCGAAATGCTCTAGATGCAAGAGGTGGGCTATGGTCCGGTACATGCCACCAGTATCCAAGGCAGAGTTGGAGGAGCTGGAACTGGTGCAAAAACACCACAGGAGAAGCTACAGGAAAAAGAATGGGCCTACGTCCCAAGATGTAGAGGGGAAGGGATGTAGTGATTGGAGCGAGGTCAACCAGGTGGACCTCATAGAATATGGGTTCCCTCATTGGACCAGATTAACAGCCCCAATCAGGGAACCCTGGCTGACAGATGTAAACAGGGGTGTCGGGGTTCTGTTCACTCTTAAGAGCTGGCTCTGAGCTATCTGTGTCAGTAACATGTACTGTGCCCATGTAAATAAAGGCTGACTTGGTGACAGGATACTGTCCTTTGTGGAGTTATTTTAGTGGTCAGTAGTAGTTTCCTTGAAATTCTTTGATCTGCATTCATAACTTCCAAGATCTTGTATAACATTGTGATGTTGAAAGTCTGATAGACTGATAGTCATCTTATTTACATAGCCCAATCTTTGTCATTCTGTTGTTTGTTTGAAGCCAGATGTTCAGTTGGGCTGTTTTTTTTCAGATTTGGATAAGGAACATTGTCAGGTCAGATTGGCTGAGAGAAACTTATTCGGTTCTGTGTTCTTGAATAATAAACCTGGCTGTATTTTTTAGGTTGAGCATTGCAACTATCTGTTGTATAACTCTGTGCTTTGCTGCATAATTGGGATTGAATCTTTTAACATGTGTCCAGGCTGATGGTGGTAAGGGGACTTTACTGAGGGATGTTGGTGAACCAGTTGAATTGTAACTCATCCTGGCACTAAGCTAGATTTATTGAATTAAGTTGCCATGGCAAGATTGGAACTCTGTTTTTTAGGGTAGCCATTTAAAGCTTACACACTTACGTTGTTCTAACTGAATGCGGGAAAACTCAAATGTTCTGGATGGCATGTACTTTTACCTCCCTGAACATTCACTTTGTTGTAATGCAGATTAACTACATGTTCTCTTTTGCACCCTAATCAGTAGAATTCCTTTGCTTACCTCGCATTTTTACAATCAACAAGATTTTAAAATTTGTTTTGGAATCACTGCAGTACTGCTTTCGACTTAGGTCAACTTTATCCTCGAATTTTCAATCCTTACATTACCCTATCTAATCAGATTTTGCCTGTTATGATTTGGAAAAAGAGTAAGTGTCTAATCAATAAGAGCGAATAACCCTAACAATCTGCTATATTCACAGAAACAATCTGCCTGTTAATGTAGCTTAACTTGTTTTATGTTGTTTTGCATTGATATTTATTGTTGCATTCGAGTTTTGAATGGGAAGAACAAATGTTTTCTTGCATCTGTAACCATCAGTTTATCAGTTTACTTTATCACTCATCTATTCTGTAAAACATAAATTTCTTTTTTGCAGCCCAGAGGAAGTTCGAGATATTGCTTCGCGGATGATTGGGAAAAAGCTATTCACCAAACAAACTGGAGAGAAAGGGCGGATATGTAATCAGGTGTTTATCTGTGAGCGCAGGTATCCAAGAAGAGAATACTACTTTGCTATCACTATGGACCGGTCTTCTCAAGTGAGTAACAAATCTACTGCTTACAGTTGTGACTGTTACATTACGGTGTAGCTTTTATTGAACGGTTTTTTCCCCATTTCACCTTTAATGTACTTGTTCTGAAGACTTGATTGTTGCTAGTATCTACGTCCAAGTGAAATCTTGCTTCTGTGATGTAGCAGAATGAGTGCTATCAAATATTACAACTTCTGCTCAAGGACTCTTTAAAGAATGTGAATCATGAGAGTGGAATTCCTGCCTAATTGCCATCTCATCTATATCTAAGACACTTAATTCTATTTGTAGCTCCCTTTGGTGAGGTCAACTAACCCAGCATTGATTAAAGAACAGTGTCATGTTGGAGTGACTAATGAATCACATGCCACTGAAAATGATATGGTTGGGTGACAGAGTGCTTCTGACATGTTGAAAGGTAAAGAACTGAGATTTTCTAGACAATTTTTTTTCACATCACAAAAATTAAATAAATTTGATAGAAACAAATCTTTAGAAGTTGTTATCTTTTTCCATTTGTTTAAGACCATGTCACCCATTTTAGTTTCCTTTGATCTATGCTGAAGTTCTTTCTGATTAATATTCTGGTTAAGTTGAGACTTAGAGGCAATACAGGATCTCAAATAACAGAAAAAAAGTAGAGTGCAGAAAATATAACAGGATAGCAATAATTAAATTAAGGTTGCTGAGTGTGAAGAAAGATAGCAAGGTCTTTAATAACGAGTGAAGAGCTACTTGGGGATGCAAAATTTATAGGGCTGTAGACAAAATACAGGCAAGTGGAGGAGGCACAGCTGCAGTTTCAAAGATCCAGCCAAAGCATGATGGCTCCAGTTCATAGAATCATAGAATCCCTACAGTGTGGAAGCAGGCCAATCAGCCCATCAAGTCCACACCAACCCTCCAAATAGGATGCCACCCAGACCAAACCCCTACCTTATCCCTACATTTCCCACCTAGACACTATGGACAATTTAACATGGCCAGTCCACCTAACCTGCACATCTTTGGACTGTGGGAGGAAACCGGAGCACCCAGAGGAAACGCATGCAGACGTGGGAGGAATGTTCAAACTCCACATAGACGGCCGCCTGAGTCTGGAATCGACCCATGTCCCTGGTGCTGTGAGGCAGCAGTGCTAATCACTGAGCCATCATACCACCCAAGTTCTGTATATTTCTAGAAAATATAAAAGGCAGTAATGAAAGATTTTACAGAACTCAAAACAAGTTAATGAATGGATCAGGAAAGTGTTTATGAGAATAGGAGATTAGATGGAGCAATTAGTACCATACCTCCTTAAATGCTGAGTATTACAGACAAAATAACAAAGGCTTTGATCAGTCTTGCAAGCATCCATTGTAAGGAAGGGTCGCTAAAGTAAGCTTCCAAAAACTAAAACATTCACTTCTCTTAGAAAATCGTGGATTAATAACGACAGCCACAATTTGTACAAATTGTGTATTACAAAATTAATGGTCTTTGCAGGAATAATTAAATGTATTGATAAAGTAAATGCAAAGGATGTTGTGTGTATGTATGAATTTTCAAACTATATTTTGATCATGTGCTACATAGAAATATAAAAATTAAGTCATGTGAAAATAAAGGAAATATGGAAGCATGAATAAGATATTGGTTGAAGGACACAAAAAATAATGGTTAATAGGGTTCTTTTAAACTGAAAGCTGGCGTCCACTGGAGATCAGTTGGAATCATTGATCTTGCTACACATAAGGTTTTCACTTGGAGATTTACTTAGACTTAGTTCCATGTGGGATAATGGGTTGCAAGACCAGTCCACGCCCTGCTCTAGCCCAGATTGTGTATTGCTTTTGGAAATCCTCCTAATGTTCTGCTGGTGCCTGTAAGCAGTCGTCATCTGTAGAACTTTTCTGTTAGTAATACTGTATCTCTGTGATGCCCAGAATTTTCCATATACAGTGAAAGATATGACACTTTCTCTTCTATGATTCCATGATTATGCTTGTTAAAACTATTGACGTATACCCCACAGCTTCACTGATGTATTGATGGAGGTTGGATGTCCACACTTGCTTATAAGAGATATAACATCATATTTGCAGGTGGCAGAAAATAGGGTGTACTATTGATTGAAGTGGATTAAGTGACTTCATAAGGATATAGATAGGATAATAGATTGGGCACATAGAAGTGATCTGCTTTTGAAATAAAGAATGAGAAGAAACATAAATTTTGAATAAAGGATCAGAGAAGCTTAGTGATTCAATCTTGGATAAAATAGCATAGCAATGTTTATTAACTTTAGAGGTCATAGTTATAAGATAAGAGATCGATTTAAAACAGATGAGGAGAAATAAGTACTCTCAAACAGTCGTGAATCTGGAATTCGTCACCCCAGAGTGCAGTGGATGCTGGGACATTGAATTGGAGGAGGACATAGACAGATCTTTAAATAGTTAAGGAGAGCGGGCAGGAAAATGGAGTTAAGACCAAGATGAGATCAGCCATGATCGTATCAAATGGCAGAGCGGGCTTGCTCCTAGTTCTTGTTTTCTTAAATAAACACATAGGGATACAGGTTCAGCTAATTTGCATGCTTTTCAATGCTGTTGCTTTTCTAGGAAGGTTTCTTTGTTGAATTGTCATGAGGTATCAGTGATATATACTTGAAGCAGCAGGCACAATCTAAAAATGAGTTAGTATTATTTAGTTGGGCTTGTGATGCTACAGTAATGAGTCTCTTGTCAAACATGTATGGAGACACTATCAAAAAGAACAAAGGAATAGCACAAACAAACCATGAAATATAGTTTTAAGAAAGTGATACAGGAAGGATATAGATGTAAGGTGAATTCTAACAAAAAAACACAATTGGTATGGAAGTAAACTACAGGTAAGTTGGACACGGGGCAGATCAAAATATGTAAGTTATGGTCCACTTGCAACACCTGCTAGCTTGGGTAATTCAATGAGTGTACAGTGTTTCCTTCTTGCAGCTGTCAGGAATTGGTCTTCCTTTACCACAAAACTTTGGAAAGAATGTTTCCTGCCACCTACGAGTTCTAATTTGTAAATCAATAGATGACGAACCATATGACTTGGAAAAGAATGATGTAAATCTGATATTTTGCATGGATGGACAATGATTTTGATGTATGTGGTCTGATTAGAGGGAGAAAGTTTTTCATTATGTGAGTAAAGATAGCATGTTGATGAAATGGGTGAAGTTGAGGTAGCTGCAATGGATGGGGATGAGGACTGTAGAATTTTTATGATGTTTTGGGATCTATTGAATGCTCTTCCTTGGTTGAGCAAGTTGAAGTTCAGCAAAATACTTTCAGATGCACAAAATATTCCCCAGATACCATACAAATATTTTGATATTATCTTATAATGCAGTGTGAGAATGTAACCAAAATAAACAAATTCATCAAACTAGTACCAAATTAGGAATTCACCAAGAAGATTTCACATATTCTAAATTTAACTTTAGCGTGAATCAGAACCAATGCAAAATAGACATGTATGAAAAGGCAAATAAATAAATACTTCAAATAAAAAGTAAATTTTGTTTTAAACACTGATGCAGCATAGATCAGTGTTTTGTAATCACAAGTAGCCAGATCAGTGTGTAACCATATACAACTCTAAAGTTCTCTAACTTCCCTCTAGTAATTAGGAACTCTTACCTTCCCATTTAATTGACTTGACTCTTGTTGTCACATCCAGAGACAGTTGTCAACAGAAATTGACACAGTCCGACAGAACATTCTTAACTAAGTTCATGACAGTCTTGATGGCATAGATGCAAAGAGACTCATTTATTTGGTTCCATTTAATAAACTCATTCTATGGTCAGCCTGTTTTGGCAAAACTGAAGCAGCAGTAGTAGAATCATCCAATTCACTATCCCTGCTGTAACCCCATTTTTGACTTTCTGTCCTGTTTCACTGTGTTACACACATATATACACACACCATACAGATTATTGTAAATGCACTTTGTCTGCTCTCCCCACCATTGCGCTTTCCTTTGGGTCTGGTCATTCAATTAACTGTTGATGTCCTTCCTTGCACTGCTTCCATGTTGAGGTTTGTTTGGCCACTTTGACTGATATTTCTTATTCAAAAAAACTATAGCTATCCCTTTACAATTGATTGAAACTCTTAACTATTTTTCACCAAATCATAAAACCAAAGATTCTTAAAAAATTGTCTTACAGAATGCTGAGGCATTTTAAAGGAATTATAAATTTTCTATGCTGTGCTGCATCTAGGTCAAAAGTCATCACAATTCTAGCAAGAAAGCAATAATTTATGTAAATACTGAGTTAGGAAATGCAGTCAAATGATGGTGTTTTATCTTTCAAGGTGGGAATGATCAAGTTTTTGGAGAATAAAGGAGGATATTGAAGAATATTTTCTCCAGCTTACTCATAGCACCTATATTTGGCTCCAAATAAGTCACCTGTTTGGCAAGTCTATACTGTCATAAAAAGTCTCTCCCTTCACTGCCTGAATATGTTATCATATTTGACATGTTGAAAAAAAACGAAGTTGCTTTTATATTCCTATGAAGGTTGTGATTATTTATTCTGAGTTACTTCTGAGACTTTAGTTACCTACTTTTAAAATAGCATAGTAATCCTTCACACTTGTTTATTTATATTAATAAATTACTTACATTGACATTTTTAAAAACAAATGCATGTTTTTACAGGAGTTATCATGTATTTATCATTCAGTATTTGGCAAGGTTGACTGTTGAATATTTGAATGATTTTAACATAAGCTGCTATAAATGTTGAAAATAAATTTTTGACATTTTCTGAACAGCCTTCAGAATTGCTGGCTAAACTACCTAATATCTGGCACAAAGGGCTGGTGAACATACAGGCAATCGTCTGTCTGCTTTATGCCTCCAAATTACAGTATGGCTTGTGGAGCTCATACTCAAATTGCTTTCATAACTGCTTACTGACTTGAATAAGGTAGGTTATGGCCATGTCTACCATTAATTTG